TCATATAACAGGGTTCTTAGAATCATGTGCTCCCCCAATTTGGAAAAAGGCGCTTTGACATTGTTTCTTGCTGGACCTGTGTCTCAACACCACCTATCTCAAGTACAAGGATAACGTTTATAGACAGAAACATGGTTGTGCAATGGGATTACCAGTATTGCCCATTGTAGCTAACCTATTCATCGAGGAGGTGGAGAAGAAAGCAATTAGTTATTTCAGGGGAAAACCACAGAGCCATTGGTTCTAGTAAGTGGATGATAGAGGGGTTCAAGATAAAAACATCCAAGTACAGGGTTTTAGTGAATGCTTAAACTCCTTAGACAAAATAATAATTTACAAAAATAACCTTTTTTGGACTGTGTGTTACAGTTCAAGGAGTAGGGTGACTTGGACATTGACATCTACTGAAAACGTACCACACAAACCAGTATCTGCTTTTTGACTTTCACCACCCACTGAAATCCAAACGGTTTGTTGTGACCATCTCAGCCCAGTGTTACACAGTTCTAATCACCCCCAAAGTCTAAAGACAAAACAATGCAGACATCTCAGGGGTGCTTTGAAAGTCTGTGGCAACCCAGATTGGGACTTCTATAAAACAACCACAACGTCAAAAAAATAATGGAACCATGGAACAGAGGTGAGAAGCAGAACATGTGGAGTAATATAGCAATTTTGTGGGATAGTGATCAATAACAAACATCACTGATACGGAAGTTTATACATCCAAAAGACTCAAAAACATAGGATAGCCCAACATAGAAGGGCAAATTTTGTAGGTAAGACCACAACTGTTTTCATACACCTTATAGATGAAGTTTAGATATGATTTTTTATAGCATAGTTACATTTGTCCAGCTTGGACCAGTGTAAGTATCCATAAATCATACATAACCAGTACCTGTGTAAGCTGCAAATTGCTATAGTAGTCACTCCTACTAAATACAAGGCTTTCTCTACTGTTGAGTGAGTGATCTCTTGTAATTACTGACAGAAGGGCAACCTCAGCACTGGACCAAGAAGACTGAGAACAGCAGTCTTCTTGGTCCAGTGCCAAGAGGTTGCCCTTCTGCACAGTAATTACAAGAGATCACTCACTCAACACTGCCACCACTCAGAGAAAGCCTTGTATTTTTTTTCAAAGGCGTTCTCTTATTGGATGAGATTGTGATGTCACCACCGTCTCTTCACCTTGTTCAATCAGAAAACGCTTTGTATTCCTTGAACAAATACAAGACTTTCTCTGACTGGTGGCAGTGCCAAAGGGCAACCCCCTCTGTCTTCTCTGCAAAAGGGCAGGCACCTGGCACTGGACCCGGAAGACTGCGGTTATTCACTGTAGTGGCAGTGATTTGATATTTACACAGGCATTGGTCAGTTATGAGATATACACACTTAAATCTGTCCAAGCTAGATTAATGTAACTATGATATAAAAACCATACTGAAACTTCAGCTTCTAGAAAAAGGGACATTCTTTTGGGGACAATGAGGTGCACATCATGGACAGAGGAAAACTGGTTCATAAGCGGTGTGAATGATTTTCATCAAACTCAAACAACCATCCCTAAACAGGGTTGAGGGTCTTAAACACCATCAGTCTCTCCTATACTGTATTTTGTTGTTTTAACATCTCTCCCCCAACTATTTGACAATCCAAAGATTGATACCCATTACAGGACTTCATTCTATCATGGCATGGGATTATGCAATTAGAACAGGGTGGTTCTACAAATTTCTCACCTCCCATCCTGTTCATTGAATATGTCAAGGCAGTTTTTGATTGTCCAAAATGTTTGGGATAAGATGATAGTTACCTGTGTGGCTATAAATGCTGATGTATATTTCTGATGCTTTTTAAAATTTAAAGAAGCAAGCTGATTGAGCTGCCACTAGCTACACAAAACACATACTTACAAAAAATTCTTACCTTTTATCTGAATCATAATGTTTTTCTTTAATATCCTCTGGAGAAAAAAAAAAAAAAAAAAAAGTAAAACATTATCCCTCATCTTATAATTTACTGGAGATAATTTGCACTCATTCAACATGCTTACAAAGACATTGGTGTTTTCTGATGTTCTCTAGAGCTGCAATCTATAGCATGCCAAGGTTGGAAAATCAAGGAAGAGTATCTTAAGTGGAAGGTGAAGATGCCATGGGCTCTAACACATTACTTTAATTGATTCCTGCCCGGGCCATTGTAAAATGACACCCAAGCGGTTGCCCTATTGTTCTAGGAGGATGTCATATAACGTCCTCCCCAGAACACTCCTTGCGCAGGCCATGCGAGCCACGCTCTGGTGCGATCTCTCACCCAATGTGTCCACCGACCTGCTGCCAGTACCATGTGATCACGGTGACCAATCGCAGCAAATCACATGACAATTGTAAACAATGAATAGCTTCCATTCATGCCATTTATTGTGTACAACTGTGAGTGGTCAAAGTGATCACATGGTACAGACAGGGCCAATCACAGCCCATCTGTACCATGTGATTAGCTGTGGCCAATCACAGCTAATCATAATACACACTGAATTAATCTATTTCATTCAGTGAAAATGCTTGCTTATAGCACTGAAATTCACAGTTATAAGCAATCAGAATCTGTAAATTTTTAAAAGTTGAAATATATTATTTATTTTATTTTTTTTACATGTCACCAGTCAGTGTTCCTGCTCACTGCCACACCAGTTATATGATGCGCTGTACTGCACCTGAGACAGTATGTGGGAAAAAATAAATGTGAAAATAAACACATTTTTTTTAAAAAAAATTTAATTTTCCAAAAAATTGTGACAGAAAATTAGAATTTCAAAAAAAAATGCACCATGCCTCTTACTAAATACCTTGGACTGTTTACTTTCCAAAAAGGGGTCATTTGGGGGATATCTGTACTGTTCTGGCACTTTCGGGCCTCAAGAAATGAGATAGGCCGTCAGTACATCAGGACTAATCAAACTTAAACCGTTTCAATACCGTGCAATTTTACACCTTCCTGCCCAGGCCATTTTTCAGGTTTCAGCGCTCTCACACTTTGAATGACAATTGCGCGGTCATACAACATTGTACCCAAACTAAAATTTTATCATTTTCTTCACACAACTAGAGCTTTCTTTTGGTGGTATTTAATCACCGCTGGGGTTTTTATTTTTTGCTAAATTAACAAAAAAAGACCAAAAATTTTGAAAAAAAAACCCACATTTTTTTTCTTTGTTTCTGTTATAAAAGTTTACAAATAAATAATTGTTCTTCATAAATTTAGGCCGAGATGTATTCTGCTACATGTCTTTGGTGAAAATAACCCAAATTAGGATGTATTATTTAGTTTGTAGGAAAGTTATAGAGTTCACAAACTATGGTATAGATCTGAATATTGATCAATCCTGAAGTACTGACGGCCAATCTAATTTCTTGAGGTCCAAGAATATCAGAACAGTACAGATATCCCCAAATGTCCCCTTTTTGCAGAGTAGACAGTCCGACGTACTTCATAAGAGGCATGGCAAGTTTAATTTTTTTGTCATAATTTTTCGGAAAATGAAAAAATGAAAAAAATTTTCACTATTTTTTTTTTTTTTACATACTGTCACCAGTGCAGTACAGCGTCATCATATAACTGGCATGGCAGTGAACAGGGACACTGACTGGTGACAGTATGAAAAAAAAAAATATATATATATATATTTTTTTATATTTTTTTATATTTAATTTTTTATTACATTTTTTTTTATTTTTTTTTAAGATTTTTTTTCATATTTTACTATGACCAAAATAGTACAATGTTACCATAGTAACATTGTACTACTTTGGGGAAGTGATCAGTATTTTTTTTTTTTTTTTTTTTTTACACAATTTGCTTATAGCAAAGAATTACTTTGCTATAAGCAAGCATTTACCTGAATGAAATCGATTCATTCAGCTTTTTTTTTTTTTTTGTGCTTAGCTGTGAATTGGTCACAGCTAATCACATGACATGTGCATGTGATTAGCTGTGACCATTCACAGCTAGGCACTAGTATACAATGGATGGCATCATGAATGAAGCCATCCATGTATACAACTGTCATGTGACCTGCTGTGATTGGTCACAGCAGGTCACATGGTACCCAGCAACGGGAGCCGGTACTCGGATCTGTCATAGGCCGTGTCCGAGGTGCACGGCCGCCGACAGATCGCACTGCTGCGCCGCTCTGCACTAGCACAAACGGCGCATGTGCGGGAGCACGCCAAATGGCGTGCACCCGAATGGAGGAGCACATCTGAAGCCGCCAAACGGCCATTGGCCGGGCGGCTAATGGTTAAGATATATACCATAGTTTATGGACTCTATAACTTTCCTACAGACTGAATAATGTACACAGATTTGGGTTATTTTTCACCAAAGAAATGAAGCAGAATACAGGTTTGGCCTAAATTTATGAAGAAAGATTATTTGCAAACTTTTATAAACACAAAAAAGAAAATGTGTGCTTTTTTTCAAAATGTTTCACCTTTTTTTCATTTCATAGCAAAAAATAAAAACTCCAGTGGTGATTAACCACTAGCCTACAGGGCACTTATACCCCCTTCCTGCCCAGGCCAATTTTCATCTTTCAGCGCTGTCGCACTTTGAATGACAATTGCGCGGTCATGCAGCACTGTACCCATATGAAATTTTTATATTTTTTTGAGACAGATAGAGCTTTCTTTTGGTGTTATTTAATCACCTCTGGGTTTTTTTATTTTTTGCTAAACAAACCAAAAACTGAAAATTTTGAAAAAAAAAAAAATGTTTCTTAGTTTTTGCTATACAATTTTGTAAATAAGTGATTTTTCTCCTTCACGGATGTGCGCTAATGAGGCTGCAGTGATGGGCACTGATAGGCTGCACTGATGGGCACTGATAGGTGGCACTGATGAGGAGGTAATTGTAGATGGCACTGATGGGCATTGACAGGCATCACTGATGGGCACTGAAAGGCAGCACTCATATGGCACTGATAGGCGGCACTGACTGGCACTGTTAGGCAGCACTGATGGGCACTGACAGGCGGCACTGACAAGAATTGATAGGTGGCACTGAAAAGCAGCTCAGATGGGCACTGATATGTGGCATTGATGTGCACTGGTAGGCACTGATATGTGGCATTGATGTGGCACTGATGGGCACTGACAGCTGGCATTGATGAACACTGACAGGTGGCACTGCTGGGGCTACACTGATCATCAGAGCACACTGATCATCAGTGCCCTGATGACCAGTGTACATGTCCTCTCCGAGGAATGCCAATTACCGGCTCTCCTCTCCTCTTGAGCTGTCAGTGTGACAGCTCGTGAGGAGAGAAATGCCGATAACCGGCATTTCCCTATTTACATGCGATGAGCTGTGATTGGACACAGCTGATCACATGACCAAGCCAACATCTTTGGCTCTTTCCGTTGATTGGTGATCCGCTGTGTCCGAAGGACACAGTGCACCACCGATCGCCCTGCTGTGCACTCCAGGAGCCGCGCATGCGTGGTTAGAGTGGGAGGACATCATATGACATCCTCCTAGAAACGAGAGAACCGCCTTGCACCCGTCATTGCCTTATATGGCAGACGGGAGACCGTTAAATACCACCAAAAAAAAGCTCTATTTGTGTGAAAACATTATAAAAAATTTCATAGGAGTACAGTGTTACATGACCATGCAATTCTCATTCAAAAAGTATGACAGCGCTGAAAGCTGAAAATTTGCCTGGGCAGGAAAGAGGTGAAAGTGTCCAGTATTGAAATGGTAATTGTGGTACAGTCAACCAGCAAATTATTCTGAGGAAATTTTGAGTTTACTAATTTATACATTTGATGACAAACAGAAAGGGCTCAATTCACAAAATGTAAAATACCAGGCTAAAGTTTTTTTAATTTTTTAATTTTCAGTCTAAAGCATAACCCTGAAGCAGCTCACTTTAGCCCCGGATGTGCACCCAACTTTGGGTTTCTTCACCCACTCCTTTCTGCAAGGTAATAATGTAAGCTGCCTAACACTTCCCAGCCCTCCATGTGCTTTCATTTGTATAGGGATAAAGGGTACAGCCTGTGTGAGATGGAAACATTTTAGTGTCATGCACCATATAGGGTTTTTTTAGATGGAAAGTTTTTTTAAAAAATAATAAAGATGTTTTTAAGGTTGGGATGGTATGACATTTGAGTGCTAATAGAGCAGGGGATCTCCATATTGTGGCCAATTGGCCGAATGCAGCTCTTTGTCTGCCTTTATCTGGCCCTCAATTGACACTAGAGATGTGGAATAATTCTCTCACTGACACCAATGATGGGGCACTATTCCTCCCACTTACACCATTGATGTAATTTTTTTTTTACTGCCACTGACCACTGAACCCATGACACAGTCTACTCTTATCTCTGTCAGGGGCATTTTCTACTCCCACTGGCCACAGTCTAACCCCCCTAAAATTTTAAGGGAAGTAAACTGGCCTTTTGCTTTGAAAATTTGGAGACCCCTACTATTAGATTATCCTGTAACTTTAAGATGTATATTTAAGTGTTTATAATTTCAATTTAAAGATCTTTGTACGCCTTCATTTCTTTTAACAGTATGATTAAAGGCCCATTCATACCAATGCGCTGTGGTAACACACTGTAGTGCATGCTACTTGTGTTGGTGCTCTGTGGTAACATTCATTTTGAATGGCACCCCAATATGCCTCCACAATGTACATGTGTCAAGTGTGTGTTGTGCAGTATATAAAAATGCAGCCAGCACTAGTGTTTTGTGTGTTGAGCAGAAACCACTTTGATTGGGCTGCCTAATGCAGTGCATCAGAGTACACCTTAATGCACAAAAAACAAGTGCAATGCAATGTAAAGCTCCCAAGCCTCAGCAAGTGGCAAATATGTCAGAGGGGAGTAACCAGTGAGGACTTTCTGCCACTTGCCCAATAAAACTGAATGAATTTATATGTCCGAGTATCAGAATCTCACAATATTGCATTCCTGATTCCAATGACATTTCAAAATTACAATCTCAGGAGCTAAACAGCTGAATACATTTATATAAATTAATTAGGTGTGAAATTAAACAGAAAACAAGTTGAAAATAACCATGTAATTGTTTTATACATAGGCCACATACAGTGCACACAAATTAATTCCATATACAGTATTTGCACATATAAAAAATGAAATGTCAGTTTAAAAACATCTGCACATACCTTCAGGGGGAGCTCTACGGAGAAGAGGAGGAGAGGTGGAGATGTAGCGGCTGTAACAATTTCGCTGAGCCATGAGTCCACGGGAGAGGTTCATATCACTAAGAGACAAAGCGACAGGGGCAAAGAAGGAAGGAAGGTTTGGGCAGCAGAGGATCATGCATGGAAGTACAAAGATGAAGGATAAGCATAGATGAAAGAGAAAAAAGTGCAGTGATGTGAAATGCGTGGAAGGCAAATAGGAGAGAATAGGGAAAAGAAATGACAAATGGTGACATCAGCCCCCACAAATTCTACACATAAGTCATCCTAAAGCAAACAGATAAAGTGTAACTCCAATTTTGTTAAAAACCCGATGCAACGAAAATAATAATAAGCACTTCAGTGTAACTAACAAACTTTTTCCATCAGTGTGCAGCTTACAATGTTCAATTATTTCCTTGCAACCATGGAAACAATTACCCAGAATCCAAATCCCATTCTCCTATATAATTGGATCACTGCCCTACCGAAACAGCCTGTGGTCTGCCCAATTTGAGATTTAGCGGTTAAAGAAAAGCAAGCACAGAAAATTACCTGTTGTGCCCAATTTGAGATTTATCGGTTAAAGAAAAGCAAGCACAGAAAATGACCTGTTGATCTGTCAGAATTCCAGTGCGCACCTAACTTCCTGTTTGAGCTGACAACACATAGAGGAGAAATTTCTTTTACTTTAGCAGGGGAGAACATTTTGGCAGATCAACAGGTATTATTGTGTTACTGCAGCATTTCCAAGGAGACAAACAGGGTAAAGGTACAAGTACTGAAGAGATGTACTGCATATGTAAATTTTAATTTGCACAGACATACACTTTAAATTAGAACTAAAGTGTAAATATAATTGTGGGAAAGTAGGATATTTATTGCAGAAGAGATATGCTATGTCTCTTTTGCAATAAAACAAGCTTACCTGCCCTGTTTGCAGTCTTGTTTTGGAATGTGCACTGAGCTGTGCATGCACAGCCCAGGGTACATTATCAGCACATTGCCTTGGTGCTGGGATGAATGAACTCATGTGCATGCACAGGAATTACGTCATACAGCGCAGGCCAATCAAGGAGGAAAAATCCAGGGAGAAGACGTCAGATTGAGGTTTTTGCAGACAGACATCACATCTAATGATTGGTAAGCTATAATATTCACATCTAATGATTGGTAAGCTATAATATTTTACATTTTTGGTTTTGGGTTTAATACTGCTTTAATCATTGATGATGAGACCTTTTCTTTAAGAGCGGAGATTTCCCCTCCCTTCCTGTCCCAGTGACAACATTGTTGCCAGGACAGCAAAAAAAGGGAAATAAGCAACAGCCATGAAAACACTTTTTGTAATGCAGTGGTAGAAGGCTAGGACCTCTGCCAGCTTTTTATTGCTCAAAACAGAATGTAAAAAGGATGAGAGCGCTACATGTTTGTACTCTGTATATTAAAAAGTGTATTTATTTTGATAACAGGTCACAGAAAACAGCCATTGTGTTCAGTGGCTCATAGCTTTCCCTTCATCGGGGCTTAAAGCTGAACTCCAAGATAAGTAAATATTATCTAAATACTAGAGACATGTATATTACTGAATCTTGATGTGCTTCATATATTTTTCCACATCTGTGCAGCAATCCGGTTTGAAACTCTGCCTCTGGGCAGGATCTTCCGGAATTGGTCTTGTTCCCTCCCCCCCCCAAAAAAAAGTTTTCTGTAGGCAGCCTGTAGTGGCTGGAGCCTTCTGGGTCCCTCCCACAGCTCTGCTCTCTGTACAGGCTATATACAGTACAGTGATGATGTCACTACTACTTTTACAAAGTAAAATCGGAGTTTGCAAAGGCATCTGGTGCACACAAAGTATATTCTTTGCAGCTATTGAGAAATAAATAAATTTTTGTGCCCGAAATCCAGCTTTAAGATATGCTGGACAGGAATCATATAAAACAAGGATCTGAATGACTCAAATATTCCAGTCTGACATCCTGGCAACTGGCATTTCAGAATAAATCAAATCCTTGTTTTAAAAGATTGCTGTCCAGTTTACCTCAATAATTACCAGCACCTGATGGAAGGAGAGTAGCAGATTTTAAACGTGTTGGATGTATCCTTTGACCTATTAAGATACATAAACATTTACTGAACCTAGTCCAACCCTTTGGCACTCTCATCCGATTACATACAGTTCTGACCACTCCAGGGACCACTGAGGATACCCATGTTGATAGAAAGCTGCCTTCAAGAATTAGATGTGAAGTTATTTTTTACCTGTTCATGGGCTCAGTGCTCCACCAACATGCGCTTTGAAGCTTTTTATTGCTCTCCATGTTCCCAGAAGAAACCCTTGTGTGTAGTCTCCATGACAACATTTTAACCAGGACAAAAAAAAAAAGAAGGGAAAATCTCCCAAGTTCAGCCAGAGGTATCATTAAACCTGACAGAGGTTCTAACCCTTCCCTACTCTATCCAATACTAAAAAAATAATTAGACAGTAGATCAGCTCTAAAGGTCTGTAGTCTCTCTGGTAGTAAGATTTTCTCATATATAAGCAGTGCTGCGACAAGCCTTTTTCTCAACTTTTAAGGCAAACCCTGAAAACTGTAGAAAGGTGACACAAATAAACTAGCATCTATTAATAGGATTATGATAGCAATGTTAAAATTACTGACCAGTACACAAAACACTTCAACATTCTGCATCTTTATTAAACTTATCAGTCAACATTTGTCAAACCCCCTCCCCCTTTCAAATACTGAAATTTAAAGTCATACCTGTCACATACAATTAATGCAGTGCAGTCTTGTGAGTGTAGCCGCCATTCTTGAAAAGAGATCAGTTTTTAACTATTTACTCTGATTGTTGATCTATTTGGTATGAGAATCACACTTCTGTTCCTCCTTTCTTCTTTTATTTTTACAACAGTCATCTTCCTTAATCTGCTTTTTGTTTGATTTATTGATGTTTCTGTTGAAAGACAGGTACTTGCCTTGCATGAAGGAGAAGGTGGAGAGAAGGTAGGGGGTCCGCTGTAAGCAGCCATCTCTGCTTTTTTAACCAGTAGTGCAAATCTCAAGTGGGTTCCATGTACTATACACTGTGGACCTGTCCAGGTGTCTCATCATTTTGGTGGTGGTGGTTAGTATAAGAAGGGTGGGGTGGGGGGGGAGTTTTGAGAACCTCCTATACAAAATCTCGGACTGTCATTTACCTGGGACTGGCTTACCATTTGCAGTACCATCCAAAAAAATTAAGAACACTTATACATATTCTTTTTGCAGCCCACTGTTTATTGACTTCCAAGTGCAACTATGTGCAACCCCCAACAACTTATGGTAACTTGCTCAATTTAATCAAGGAATCGAGAGTCAGGTAACAATTTACGGCCAGAACACAGTACTCTAAAGAAATCCCAAGTTTGGATTTATTGGGACTTATACCCCACTTATCATGGATCCTACAAGGGTTAGTCCATTGTGGATGCTCTGCCAGCCTTGCATTCCAGGGACTGTGCATTTCCTCTCTTTTCCCCCCCTCTTTCCTAATACCATTCTTCTCTTTCCCTTTCCACTGGCCTCATACCCTCTCAGGTTGATTGATTGCTAGCGTTCACACGTCTTCCCTACAGGCAGTATCTACTACAGTGCAGTGCAATTGGTTCCACTAGATTTTAATTAGGAGTATCAGAATAAAGAGGTCTGAACACAAATGCATGCCACACTTTTCAGATATTTATATGTAAACAATTCTGAAAAGCGTTTATCATTTTCCTTCCATTCACAATTGTGTGCCACTTTATGTTTGTCTATCACATAAAATCCCAATAAGGTACATTTACGTTTTTGGTTGTAACATGATACAATCTGGAAAATTTCAAGGGGTATAAATCCTTTTTCAAGGCACTGTATATAAGGCCTTGTGGACATCATGCTTCCCCTACCATTCGGACTCTTCTCTTATGACAAGTTTTGTGACCAATATTGATATAGTGTCTTAGAGATTTATAGCTTATGTTTTTATGGTATTTTGAATATATTCATGTGTCGTAGGTGTACCCTCCATACAGGACTGTATACTGTAGCAATGCTTATTCTTTATATTGGGGAGATGCAGTTTTGGATATTTGTCATAAGATGCAGTCTGTATCTGTGTGATGCTTTTGGTGTTTAAAAAAAAGTTTTACCAAAAATACATTCAATCAAAAAAACAATTATACAAAGAACAAAGCATCAAAATCTGTCTGCTATAGAAAATCAGCAAAAACACCCATACATTACAGTGGTGAAGAGAAACTACAACCTGAGCACCATCTAGCTTTGCAAACCAAGGCACCTCCACACTCAGTTTTCATTCTCCCAGTGTCTTCTTTGTCTGAAGAGTGGCACAACACTTAATGACTACTGGATGGTGATACAGGGAGTTTCACCTTAATTTCACCTGGGTGGAGAGGAATGTTCTTCAGAACAGATTTCCACAAAGAAATTTCCTGCAGATTGTATGACAGGTATACTTTAAAAACAGCTCTCTTGCTCAGTCAAAATGTGCAAGTTTACTAGCTCAAACATGTAGGATTACTACTTGTGGTACAGTATAAAAATGGGTCAAAACAATTATTAAAAAAGCAAAAAAAAAACCCAAACATTCATATGGCTAAGAGGACAAATATCAATGAGCTAATACTTGCTGCTGGTTGTAAAAATACTTATATTAGACATCAAAGCACTTTGTGCTGTCAGATACTGGTGTGGCAACAAGTCAATAGGCCGGATTAAATTGTAACCTGAATTGTAGTGCTAATATGAAATTAAAAATTGATTTCACAAGCACAGGAAGGATACATGCAATAAAATAGAGGCCGATACTGTGAAAATATCAGTCCTCCCAATAATGATACTAAGTTTCTAGAAGAAAGTGAAGTGACAAATCACCTAAACAGATTCTTATATCTCTTAGTGACTCTTGTGGTGAGATTTACGCCCACCTGTTATTGGCATTTACTACCTGGCATTTAGTACCACTAACCCTGCTGGATGTATTTGTTATATATTACAGAGAATGAAGCAGAAGTGGAAACACCCCTGTTAGAACA